TATATATATATATATATATATATATATATATATATATATATATATATATATATATATATATATATATATATATATATATTATTAAGCAGATCATGCAGGTAGTATAGATAAATGTATTCATATATTATAAACTTTGAACAAGCAAACAAAGGAATTTAACTGTATCCAGTTAGGGCAATTCCATAATCAAGTTGCCACACAACACATTGATCAAATTGACATTTTTAACCTATATTAACCGACCCACCAAGCATTAAAAATTTCCAGCACGGCATACAAAGGAAATTGAAATTAACCGTCCATACCCCATTCCATTGATGTCCTAGTACATTGTACTATTAACCTCTGATGTTAGCCACTATAGTAAAACCAAACAGCACTGAAAGTCTTATCCAGCTTTGATGCAACCAACACCAGACCTGGTGTTCGACTGAGGGTAAAAAAAAATTAAAGTTGGTTATGTAGTTGCTATAATGGTAAAGTGCATGAGACATCCTTTCCAACTGATAATTTCAGCAAATTTTTTCCATATAGATATAAGGATAATATAATATAACGTCATGTCTTGCAAATATAGCGACATATCTTGCGAAACAGTGCTGAAAGTGAATCATATTTGATTCAAAACATACAGTTTTTATAAATTGTGTGTTAATGATTAATTTATTATTATTATATAATGTACTCCTTATTCAGAATAACTTTTATTCTATGACTATTGTAAGTGAGACATGCACTAGCTGGGATATGCCTAGGTAATTATAAGCATATGAAGAATTGAGGATTGCATAGATGCCAAGCTATAATATATTATTTAATTTCAAGGCCGTATGAAACTCTTTTCGATTGGGGGGGGGGGGCTGAATGCGAGGGCCGAAGGCCCAAGGAAATTTTTAAATTTAGAGTCTCTGAAATGCCATTTCGAATTCCTGGACTTTGGGGAATATTTGACAGAATTCTAATTGTCAGAAAACAGCGTTTTAGTATGTCGAAACTTGCAATTTAGTACTAAATGGGCGAAGGCGTATTTAATTAACTATATATTGAATAAGTTGGAGGAAAGTATGGGTAATACCTGGTTTTCAAATAAGTATGATTATTAGCAAATTATTGGGGGGGGGGGCTGCAGCCTCCCCACCCCTCCCGGTTGCTTCGACCCTGAATTTTGATACAAGAACTAGGCCTACTGCAATCTGGCAATCTGGCAGATACATAACTACACTATTTGGCATTAGTTACAATAAATTACATAATTTAATATAAAAACTGAGTCAAATATAAGCCTTTTCATGAATTAAACTAATGCTTTATATAATTGTTTTAAATATTGTCGCGGTAAATTCAAATTTTAAGCCGAAACATCAAGCACGTGCATTCTCAAAATTCACGAATGAAGACAGTAATACAGTATTAAAGTATTTCCTTTCAAAATTGCTCTATTAGGCCTATACATAAAACATAACAAGATCCTTAGCTGGATATTACTTAATCATCCCTGATGTTTCAGCTTCGCTTATTAATGCTTCATCTGCTCGAAATATCGAGCGAAATATTGTAACTTATACTTCGAAATTGTCGCGGCAAATTCAAATTTAAACCCAAAAACCAAACACCAAACACGTGTATTCTCAAAATTCACGAATGAAGATAGTAAATATTTCCTTTCAAAACTGCTGTATTATACATAAAACATAACAAGATTCTTAGTAGGATATTACTCCGTCAACCCTGATGTTTCATCGTCGCTGATTAAAGTATCATCGGCACGAAATATCGGGCGAAATATTGCCGTAACTTCGAAATCACGAACTGATTATGAAAAATATGGCAATGTAAATTCAGTGTTTCCACTGAATCCACTCCCCAAAAAAGAATTTCGAATTCCTTCCCAACTGCTCAAAATATCCGTACTTTTGACAAAAATTCCTTGAGCTAAGAAATGATATTACAATAATTTATCCTAAATTGCGGTGTGTTTCTCGGGCGAGAAACACCATGAACGTTGCAATTATAAATACATATAAAGAAACTTCAACAGGAGGCTTGAGGTCATCTCTCAGAAATTTTTCAGATTTTCCATTCCCCATGAGTACGATTTGGATTTTCGACATTTTCTGACGCGAATTTGCTTGAGAGTTGCTTATAATCTTAGGATTTATTAGATATAACGTAATATCCTTATTTCCTTGCTGAAAACAAAATTCTGGCCGTTTCCTGGTAATTTATTTTTGCTTTTGCAAAGAAATTTCCTTGCTAGTGGAAGCATACAGTGCATGGGATGAGCAGTGGAGAGGACGCTGTACGCAATAGTTGAAGCCTCCTCCTTTCCTCACCCACCGCCCCTCCCATTATTAATGATTGGTACCTTATCTGTGTTTATGTAAAATACGGTTCTATTTTATTTCATTTGCTAAGTAGGAAAATTCAGTATGTTTTACTTTAAATAGACTACTTTATACATCAACCTCGTACCCAGGGCTTTTTGCTTCCTCGGTCGGATGGTCAGCGAAAAAGGCCCTGGCATCGGCTGGTCTGTTTTGCAATCTGATTGGTCAATGATTTTGAATATAATTATTCAATATACCGGGGAAATAATTATTATTTTGGTGAAACGAGAGTGGAGTGTCAAATTTATCATTAGTTCTTGAAGGACTAAAGTATTGAGTAAATTAAAATTAAGTCTTTGTACATTTGTATAGACGAGTATTTGATTCGTTTCAACATACATTTCTCACATGCGTTGTTTATACATCGTTGATTTCAAGAAACGTACAGCGTTATACTTATAGTCAAAGATTGTGATACGAATATATTTGCTCATAACACGATTTATGTAAACCAAACGGCAAACGCTGAAGCGGTTTTGTTTTGCTTGGTTGTTCATTAAGAATTGAGCAAGAATTGATCGGGCTATATGTTGCTAAATGAGGTGTAAACAACGAAAACCGAATAAAGTCAACTTATTTCGTTGCTTTCCCTTTGATTATATATACGCAGCATTGAGTTTGTTTACTCCTGTCAGTAATTACAATGTATATCATTGTTCTATATACGTACTTATACGCATAAATTATCATAATACTGGAGATTTTGAGGTCATGTGACCGGCCGATGCCAGGGCCATTTTCGCTGACCGGAAGCAAAATGCCCTGGGTACGAGGTTGTTTATACATATCTGCAAATTGTAATCCTGAATTCCTGTAAATGTAAAATAGGATTAAAATTGTGTATTTTATTATATTTTACAAATTAGGGAAAGTAAATAGGTTTAAAATAGTATATTTTATCCCTATTTGAAAAATGTGGCATTTTTAAAAATGTGAAATAGGTTTAATATAGTCTATTTCATTCTGTTTTGCGTATTCTAAAAAATAAATAGCTTTAAAATAGTATATTTTATATCTATTTTAATTTATGTAATTTTGTGTATACAATAGTCTATTTTATTGTTAATTTTGCTGACTATGTTATTTTGCTAACTAAAGAAATAGTATATTTTATTCCTGTTTGAAATTTGTGCATTGAATTTGCAATATAAAATAGGATTTAAAAAGCCTATTTTATTTTATGAGTTTAAAAATAGGTTATTTTATATCTATTTTAATTTCTAATTCCTTTTTAGTGAAGTAAAATAGAATTTAAATAGGCTATTTTAAACCTAAAACTGTCTGTACCAGTGTTGGTAGTACCAATGTGAAAATGCTGTGCTGAGTGGTTATATTACTACCTTAAAAAATAAGCAGAAACTCGACGTTTCGAGTGAAGGCCCTTCGTCACGAGTTAGTAGCAGGGATCGGGGAAAATGCACGGGCTTTTATACTAAGAGTATGAAAGCAGCACGTGACAAAAAAATAAACCAATTAGATGGATTTAATAATAACAAAGTGTAAAAAAAAATATGTAAATCGCATTACAGAATATAATATAATTTAAAAATTTTATAAAAATAAACAGGAAGTTAAGACAATTACTACAAAAAAAAAAAATAATCAAAACAAAACACGAGTGGGAATAAGGTGAAAGTAAAAGTAATAAATAGAAGTTGTCAATGTCTGCTATAGACAGGCAAAGACAGATGGCATCATAGACAAAACAGACGACATGTCTTCTGTATTGTCTACGATGGCATTAAACATAAGAAAAGCGTTCATTAATACCAGAAGGGTGAACAGTGCCAAGTTTGCATATGAGGCGCATTTCATGTCGTTTGCGGCTATCGTTCCTTCCCGAAATGGGACAGAGGGCTCGAATTAACATATCTGAAACACTGTGATTGCCATCATTAAAATGTACTGCATCTCTTGCAGTAGATGTGGCACTCTTTACACTGGGGAAACTGGAAGATGTTTAAGGACAAGGTTCGGTGAGCATCGGCGTGCAGTTATTGGCAATGATGCTAACCAACCTGTTGCCAGACATTTTAATGATGGCAATCACAGTGTTTCAGATATGTTAATTCG